GACCTCGTCTTTATGTGACCATAACATAGAATGTTATATGATATTTTCCAACCCATCCTCCTAACATGATAGTTCCTGTAGGAACCATATGGTCAAAAGTACCAATATGTAGTGGTGGTCCACCAAACGTTGACGTTTGGTATTACTGAATTTGGACAAACGGTAACTTTTTAACCGCAACATAAATATAGAATCTAACCCAACCTCTCATCGCAATCCTATGCCTAATATATGATATCTTAGACCTAATATAGTACATAAATGAGATATTCTAGGTCTAGAAAACTTTAAGTTGGATTGTAACTTTATTTTTTAGGACGTTTGAAAATTTTAAGTACGAACAGTAAAGTATTTGGTGGACCATCACTACATATTGGTATTTTCGACCAAATAATTACTATACCCACTGTCTTTTAAGGAAGATGTGTTGATATGTACAGTGTACAATTATCCTAATGAATATGACGTGTCTAATTACAAACTTTTTTGATTAGTCACATTCTGTGTTTTGCAATTTTCCAGCGTTTGCCGCCCCGTACGTGATCCTGGACACGGACTACACCAACTTCGCCTGCTTGTACTCCTGCGTCAGCTTCAACTTCAATCATCACACCGACTTTGCCTTCATCTTCACCCGGTCCCCTAGCCTGGATGGCAAGTTCGTGAAGCGGTGTGAAGCTGCCTTCAAGAGCATCAATGTTGACACTTCCCGCTTCACCAAGACGCCCCAAGGATCATCTTGCAATTATGATGTACAGAAAACTCTTTAATTGTCTTTGTCGAGCGATTTTTACATAATGTCATGGTAACATTTTTGTAGTTTGCGAATAATAAATTTATACAAAAAGACTCGTTTTGTATTCTTTAACAACTGAACATAAAGACAACTAGATGGAGCTCTTCATATGTACTTGTTCTCTTAACTGGACGTTTACTGAAGGCTGAGAATGTCTCACTAATGATCCAGACTGATGTAAACAGCTTTTGGTCTAAAGTAACAATGAAAGTTTCCTAGAAACTCATTTGTGCTGCATTTGTTGCGAGTAACAAATTATATGGCTAGAACCATTTTCAATGTACAGCATATGCAAAAAAATTTAATGGCCTGAAACTTGTATTGGAAAGCGCTAGTATCTCTTGACATTATATTTATATCCCAAACTTCATTTAATGGTGCTTTTTATATAGTACAGTATGCTACTGAAGGTAATGGTAAATGTGACAACTTTTTCAAGGTACCCCAGCCAAGAGTAAGAATATGAGCGCTATCACCCATCCAGCTACTGACCAGCACATGTAGAACACTTCTGTCTTCTATCATGCTAATTTCATGCAAGGAAAGGTGATTGTCAGGAGCAAGTAGAGAGAGGCAGAGCAACACTAAGTTTTCCTTCAGTAAGCTGCTTTGGCTTCTCAGACTCAGGCTCTCAGACACAGGTTCTCAGACTCAGGCTCTCAGACACAGGTTCTCAGACTCAAGCTCTCAGACTCAGGCTCTCAGATACAGGTTCTCAGACTCAGGCTCTCAGACTCAGGCTCTCAGACTCAGGCTCTCAGACACAGGTTCTCAGACTCAGGCTCTCAGACTCAGGCTCTCAGATACAGGTTCTCAGACTCAGGCTCTCAGACACAGGTTCTCAGAGAGGCTACATATACACTACTTGGGGTTTATGGCCTGATAAAGCAGACTTGAAATCTGAAGAAAAACTAGAGTCCATTTTTTATTCCCTTCTGAACCGCCAGGAGTCATCTTATATTAATAAGTTCAGTTTAAAAACATATTTGCAAGATATATAATACACATATCATAGAGGTTAATGATATTAATTAAATCGTACTTCGATTTAATAGAGCACATTGACAAAACGCAAAAGAAAGAACGCATTTAAATAGTTCTGTCATGAACGAAACGTATCTACAAAAAGAAAAAGAACTCTTTCGGGACAATCAGTCACACAAAAGAGTGTACCCTGTCGTGGACAGGTATATGGTGTCTACTGTCATAGACAGGAATATGGGGTACCCTGTCAGGAGACAGGAAGGTCGAGCATGATCGATCGTGGACACCAGAGCTAAGAGTCGGGCTTTCCAGCAGAACTGTACTAACCTCCAACACACACCCCTATAGTGAGAGCCGTCTGGAAGGGTTAATAATGTTGACTTAATAAGACAAGTGTCATCACTCGGGATACAGCCAGAGAGACTATGGCTCTGTAACGTTCAGGAGGAACCAGACCTGTGTTTACCTGAGACATAAATGAGGATAGAAATCATCAAGTAAATCATCATCAATTAAATATTTCGAACAATCTTCAAGGACAGATGATTGGATCAGCTAAACAATTGGTGCCTTACGGTCAACTTCATGTATGTCTTAATGAAAGGATCTGAGCATTTTCTTGGTTTAAAACTCATCATCAGAATCTTACTTTGTAATCTATATCTGCAGAAGAGGATGTCTATCTGTCTGTCTGTCTGAGGTTGGAGGCCAGACTCTAGGGGCTAGACTCACATAGTTCTGGAAGTTTAATCATAGGGAATAAGGAGGTTATGGGAGTGTCATAGGCCAGTCGGGGGTCTGCCCAAGTGCTACACATTAAGAAATATCAACAGCTATAGCGACACGTGCGATTTTCATGAAGTATGAAATAAAATCAGAGGATGCGTTTCCCATAGAGTTTTTATGATTACCTATATTGTATATATACGGGTTACAGTATTACATTTTCAGAGAGAGAGAGAGAAAGGGGGTGAAGATGAGAGTTTGAGAGAGAGAGAGAAAGGGGTGGATATGAGAGTTTGAGAAAGAGAGAAAGAGGTGGATATGAGAGTTTGAGAAAGAGAGAAAGGGGTGGAGATGAGAGAGAGAGAAAGGGGTGGAGATGAGAGTTTGAGAGAGAGAGAGAAAGGGGTGGAGATGAGAGTTTGAGAGAGAGAGAGAAAGGGGTGGAGATGAGAGTTTGAGAGAGAGAGAGAAAGGGGTGGAGATGAGAGTTTGAGAAAGAGGGTGGAGAAGGATAAGGGCTAAGAGAAGAGGGGGATAGCAGGATAGGTAGTCAGTTCGTGGTCCGAGGCACGTACCCACAATCAGCTTCAGGGTGCCATTAGTGGAGAGCGACACCTGCGTGTGGGTCTAAGGTCGCCTTCTGAGAATTATCTAAACTTGTGTGCGAGCGATTCCAAGTATTTCTACCAGGCGCTCCTCCCACTTTTTTTTTTATACATATATGAAGCAACTAACAATAGCAACAGGACGAAATGCGGAACCACGTTGTCAGTCTGGCCATTATACCCACAAGCAGTCCCTCACCGTCGTAATAACTAGCAGTTATGTATTGGTGCTACTGTTTTTAATACTATTGTAATTTTTTTTTGTAACTGAGTATAATCTTTGGAAATGTATACGTACTTGAAGAGCAGAGATAGTAAATATAGGAGTGGAGGAGAGAGAGGAGGCTTTGTACATGGTATTATAAAAAAACATGTATCTAATGTACATGGATGTTTTATCAAAACCATGTACGTTAGGTACATGATTTTGATAAAGGGCCAGGGTGGCTAACCCCTGTAAAGCTGACTCACGCTACTAACACCAAGACAAGGTGTGTGGGATTTATATTTTTAGATGTGATAGACGAGGTCTCGGTACGACTCAGTGAGTGAAAACACTTAGTAACCTTGCTACTGTTACCAATATTATTTTTGGAAATCATCTGATCAGGGGATCTGCTGATAGAAAATGTGCGAGCGATATATATATAGATATAGATATACTATCTATACTGACTATCTCTATACTGGTCTAGAGAGTATAGTTATTTATAGCCTGATTTTTTTTCTGTATATCTTGAGGTTATCTTGAGATGATTTCGGGGCTTAGTGTCCCCGCGGCCCGGTCCTCGACCAGGCCTCTACCCCCAGGAAGCAGCCTGTAGCAGCTGTCTAACTCCCAGGTATCTATTTACTGCTAGGTAACAGGGGCATCAGGGGTGAAAGAAACATTTTGCTCATAATTTTTCGCTTCCACCGGGGATCGAACCCGGAACCTCAGGACTACGAATCCGAAGCGCTCTCCACCCAGCTGTCAGGCGCCCCTAATATAAGGGGATATACGACCAGATTCCAGATAGTAACCAGAGGGCGAGACAGAGTAGCAGAGAGGTCCAAGACACCAGTCGTGATAGTGTTTACCCTTCCTGTAGTGGATGTGAACCATAGAGCTGGTACAGGACACATCAGTCTCGCTTTAATACCTTGTTCTTAGTTTAGTTCTTGATAAGAACATAAGAACATAAGAACAAAGGTAACCGCAGAAGGCCTATTGGCCCATACGAGGCAGCTCCTATCTATAACCACCCAATCCCACTCATATACTTGTCCAACAAATTTTTATGTTCCGAATTCTGACTTCTTGTCCGTGTTGGAAATATTTGAAGTGTTGCATATGTTTCTTTCAAAATATCCATTCAATATATTTGTGTAGCTTAATGTTCATTGATTCAGGAAAGATGTAAACTCTTTCAAAATAATTGGTTGTGTGTGTGTAACTTTTAAAAATTTCCTTGTACATTAGAAATATTATTATTTTATTTAACTTTTGACCTTAATCTAAAGCTGGCCAACTTTACTGTTCTCTTCAGTAGTATACTGCACTACATAAATACCACCATTAAGTGAAGTTTGGTATATACATATTTATTAAAAGATTCGAAAGCTTTCCAGTAATAGTTTCAAGCCATCAAAGTTTGTTACATATACTGTACTTTGAAATTGGTACTAGAAATACAATTTGTTACTTGCAACACAAATTGATAATTGCAGCACAAATGAGTTTCTAGGAAACTTTCATTGTTACTTTAGAACAAAAGCTGTTTAGATCAGTCTGGAGCATTAGTGAGACATTCTCAGCCTTCAGTAAACGTCCAGTTAAGAGAACTAGTACACATAAGGAGCTCCATCTAGTTGTCTTTATGTTCAGTTGTTAAAGAATACAAAACGAGTCTTTTTGTATAAATTTATTATTCGCAAACTACAAAAATGTTACCATGACGTTATGTAAAAATCGCTCGGCAAAGACAATTAAAGAGTTTTCTGTACATCATAATTGCAAGATGATCCTTGGGGCGTCTTGGTGAAGCGGGAAGTGTCAACATTGATGCTCTTGAAGGCAGCTTCACACCGCTTCACGAACTTGTCATCCAGGCTGGGGGAGCGGGTGAAGATGAAGGCAAAGTCGGTGTGATGATTGAAGTTGAAGCTGACGCAGGAGTACAAGCAGGCGAAGTTGGTGTAGTCCGTGTCCAGGATCACGTACGGGGCGGCAAACGCTGGAAAATTGCAAAACACATAATGTGACTAATCAAAAAAGTTTGTAATTATTCACGTCATATCCATTAGGATAATTGAACACTGTACATATCAACACATTCTCCTGAAAAGACAGTGTGTATAGTAATTATTTGGTCGAAAGTACCAAAATGTAGAGATGGACCACCAAATACTTCAGTTTGTACTTATAATTTTACAAAGTCCTGAAAAATAATGTTAATATCCAACTTAAAGCTTCCTAGACCTAGAATAGCTCATTTATGTACTATATTAGGTCTAAGATATCATGTATTAGACATAGGATTGCGATGAGAAGTTGGGTTAGATTCTATATTTATGTTGCGGTTAAAAAGTTACCGTTTGTCCAAATTCAGTAATGCCAAACGTCAACGTTTGGTGGACCACCACTACATATTGGTACTTTTGACCATATGGTTCCTACAGGAACTATCATGTTAGGAGGATGGGTTGGAAAATATCATATAACATTCTATGTTATGGTCACATAAAGACGAGGTCACAAGGAGCTGCTGCTACTACTTACAGTTCTCGTAGTCGATGGTGAGATGAGGTTCACCGAGGGGGTTGGGGTACACCTTCCCGTTGCGCTTCAACAGGCTGCCGTCAGCAGTCACGCCCGTTGATGACACATCAAACTGTTTACCGTCTGAGAAAATGGAATGTTATATTACTTTCCTGGAAAATAAACAAACTTATAACACATATATTCTACAGCTGCATGTTGACGCAAGCTTCTCGTATTATCTCTAAAGCGTTTGGCACCTAACAGGAAAAATTATATCATAACAATATAATAATAATTAGTTATGTCGGGAACAGCCAGTTTGTATATTTATAGATCTAGGTTCTTATTCTTATATCTAGATTAAGATTATATCTAGACCCCCGCCACACAAGGCCGGACTACTGTCTCTCCCCAGGAAACAACTCAACAACTTGGTTAACTCCCGGGTGTCTATTTACTGCTAGGTGAACAGCGGCATTAGGTTACAGGAAATGTGTCAAATTATTTCTGTCTCTCACAGGATTCTCGATTATGAGTACAGAACGAGCCCAACCGTACTTACCGAAGGAATAGTCATTGCGGACACAGGTGTTGATCAGCTGATAAGGGTTGTCAGTAAGTGCGAACTCGTACCAGACGCCGGCATACTGCAAGGCAAGAAAACATTCCTTAATTACATCCCGATAATCTTTAATTATCAACTCTTAACATTTAAGTGAATTTGCACATTTATATAACGCAAATGATGTGATGGAAGTTTGGATCACTGAGTGGTTGTGTTGGTGATTTATAACACATATGTTGCATGTGTGTATTTAGGAGCACTCACGTTGGCGAAGTTTGGGACCTGTTCGGTCCACAACTTGCTCTCGTCGACGGCAGGACACTGGCCGGGGACCACGAAGTCCGGGATCTTGTCAGCAGCGACGGCGGCCACGAGGACCAGCAGGATGGCCAGCGAGTTCATGGTGCGAGGCAGAAGCGGCTTCTGAGTTCCAGGGGCGTTGTGCGGTCTTTATATAAGACTGGCGGAGGTCAGCGGTTGTCCAAACTACTGACTCCATACCCCAATGAACATCTTTTCTTTACTTACAATTAAAGTATAACATTGGCAGTCAAATGTTATTATTGAAATTATTAAATACTGTAATGAATAATATTCACAAAACAGTATCTGAGTCATTATAGTCAAGGAAATGGTCGTGTACTACGCTCCGCCCTCCATTTTTTGGAGGAGGTTGCCTCCTCTATATAAGCATGGGCAGGGGGCCAGGACCTCAGAGTCAGTCAAGCGCGCATCATGTTCACAACTTTCCTCACTGTCGCCCTCGTGGCCTGTGTGGCCGCCGACGGTATTCCGAGCTTTGTCTCTCCTGGTAAATGTGCCTCAGTTGCCAACCAAGACAACTTCGACCTCAGGAAGGTGAGTGATCTTTTGTGTGATTATTACCGATTGATGAATCACGGTTATGACTTCCCTATATTGTATATGGATCTGCAGTATTGATAAGGATACACCGTTGATGGTTTGCGACATATTTATAAGTAACATATCGTGATGTTTCAACATTGCACATGTTCTCTGCAGTACGCTGGCCGTTGGTACCAGACCCACATCATCGAGAACCCTTACCAGCCGGTGACTGGATGCATCCACTCCAACTATGACTATTCCGATAGTGACTACGGCTTCAAGGTGACCACCGCCGGCTTCAACCCGAAGGGAGAATATCTGAAGATTGACTTTAAGGTCTACCCAACTAAGGAGTTCCCAGCCGCTCACATGCTCATTGATGCTCCTTCAGGTAAGTCTTGCCCACAATCTTCATCAACAGAATCATTAATATTAATGTTGCACTTTTTAGAATGCGCAAACAAGTTCTTTGTCGCTAAATTGTTTTTGTTTCTCCAGTGTTCGCCTCGCCGTATGAGGTCATCGAGACTGACTACGACACCTACTCCTGCGTCTACTCCTGCATCACCACCGACAACTACAAGGCAGAGTTCGGCTTCGTGTTATCCCGTACCCCCCAGACCTCAGGACCCGCCGTCGAGAAGTGTGCCGCTGTCTTCAAGAAGAACGGTGTCGAGTTCTCCAAGTTCGTGCCTGTCTCGCAGACGGCTGAGTGCGTCTATAGAGCTTAAGGCTCCATAACATTTCACAATTATCAAAACAACAATCTCACTGTTCTTCCGCTATCGTCTCCCATATTTTCATGTACATAAACGTGACCTTATCTTACCAACAGTCAGTGCTACATAACCTTACCGGCTTGGCGCCTTCTTTTGATATTTACTTTCTAACCAACAGTAAAATGACACTCGTGTCTAATTACAAGTAGCCACAAGCTATGGTGAGACACATAGGACTGTACTGTGAGGTTAAAGGCTCAGGCCCCCATGACTGTGTACTGTGAGGTCGTCGACTCACGCCCCCATGACTGTGAACTTGTACATTAAGATTTGTGATATGCCTCATGTGTTTACAGAACAAGTGTCCACATGTGTTTAAAATGGATCATTCGATATGTACATATGTGAACCTTCCTGATATTATGTACATGTGAAATAAACTTTTTATAAATTGTTTATCCTGTTTATTCTCTCTGTATCCGAAGCATTACGTTAAGGGACCTCAGCAGACAATTGTTACTCTGTGAGGTATACTCTCTACATGGAAACATGTATACTAAGTGAGTTTACTTTAGTTATGAACTCCAATCAAGATAATTATAGTATACTCCTTCGATAATTTTGGCCTTAATTATGGCTAGGTATTTATCCAATTTATTTTATAATTATGAGGCGATGAGTCACAATAACGTGGCTGAAGTATGTTGACCAGATCACACACTTGCAATAAATAGGCAAGACTCTCTCTTGCCTAGTTATTGCCTTCATCACCTTCCCTCATCACAATCGACTTGAGAATGGTCCAGGACGAACCGAAACGTCGTCGTCCCTTCACTTTCTAGTGTGTGGTCTGGTCAATATAATTATGAGTCTTTCGTTCATACTTTATTTAACGTGAATTTATTTTATTTTTCATTAAACAAAATCATAGTAAAATATGTTATTATTTGTATCTGTTTTATACAGAAAAACATAAATGTCAGTAGATAGTAATTAATAACAACATGAATGACACTGAAAACAACCGAATAATAAAAAAAAACTTCATAGATAAATATCCATACATAAGAATTACGCCAAAATGTAACTAATATAACGTGATGACAAATGTATAATGCTAATAATACCCAGAGAGTAATCACACTAACGTGATCTATAAATGAGAAAATCCGTTGGAGCTGTGATGAGGTTTCGAATATATGCAGTGCCATGCAGTGTATGGACTGCATGGAATCGCAGTGGAATAACCGCGGTGGAATAACCACTGCATTGGTTCGAATCCTCATTACGGCTACTACGGATTTTTTTTTCAATAATAATAATAATAATAATAATAATGATAATACTAATAATAATGATAATAATTAGCTAATGTGTAGGAGCCGTGATGAGGGTTCGAACCTATGCCGTGTGTGTTCCCAGACACTCGCTCTAGACAACCAGGCTACGCCATGGTCAAAAGGATTGCAACCTGGGGTATTACTGTACCCTCTAGGATTTCCGAGGCTTCCACTGAAGCCGAACCAGTGTTTCACACATTCCCCACATACACTCTGGCTTTTGTCATCTAGTAATGTTCGAACTCATCATCTAGAATGATGAGGTTCGAACCCTCAACACGGCTCCTATGGGGGGTTATCCATAGCTCCTTCTCCACGGCGGGGTTATCCCATTTAGTCTTATGCAGTTGTTAGAATTTGGTCGTGGTGAAGAGCCTGCAAGAGTGTCCCAATGACAGATCTCAAGATGGCTTGCTCCTTTTGGTGAATTTGGGATCATAAATTCCAATGATGTCTTTTAGGAATTCTAGCCGGATCTCTCACTAATCCACTCGCAGCACCGGTCGAGGATGAGAATGCAGGCAATGCTGTTGACCAGACCACACACTAGAAGGTGAAGGGACGACGACGTTTCGGTCCGTCCTGGACCATTCTCAAGTCGATAGGCAATGCTATTTGTGTTGCCTTGTGTATACTATATACCACAGAGTCTAGAATTAACTATAAGTTAAAATAATAAGGAAGGGTGTGTGCAGACACCGAGGGGTGGTGGGTGTGTGCAGGCAGGTGTATATACAAGGGAAAGGCATATTTGTGCAGAGAGGAAGAGCACATGTGGAGGGGCATGTGTGTGCAGGGAAGGAAAAGGTGAGAGAAAGGCATGTGTGGACAGGGAGTGAGGGAGGAGGCAGAGGAAGAGTGTGTGTGGGCAGGGAAGGGGGAGATGGGGGAATTTCAACGTCACAAATATGAATATATTTTCCCTTCCATATTCACTTTCAGAGCTTCAATCATCAAAAAACACGTAAGTTCTTCTCTATATAAAAATAATGCTGCGTTTTTAAATTTGAGAAGGGAGTCGAGTTCTCGGCTCATCTCTGCACATCCATATTTATTAGAATTCTTTGATGGTTCTGATTGACAATATGTCAGGAGAGAAAGATACGCTTGAATATTTAATGTTTAATTAATACATTATCTCATACTTACGCCATGTCTTAATAGTGTACAAATTATTTATATTGAAACATTCTTAACTGTACAAACATGTGCATGTTTATAATTATATTTTAAGAATTACGACAATAATTCATATCAAACACACAGATCTTCGTACTTGGTACAGGAGTTGCAATTGAGCTTTAATGTAATGGTCAAGTTTGGCAGTTTTCCTGCATTTTACAGTTATAATGGGGATGATGTATTTGAACTTAAGGAATATAACAAAATATCCATTTTTAGTATTCGAGGAACTTAAGCTCTATAGACGCACTCAGCCGTCTGCTGGACAGGCACGAACTTTGAGAACTCGACACCGTTCTTCCTGAAGACAGCGGCACACTTCTCGACGGCGGGTCCTGAGGTCTGGGGGGTACGGGATAACACGAAGCCGAACTCTGCCTTGTAGCTATTGGTGGTGATGCAGGAGTAGACGCAGGAGTAGGTGTCGTAGTCAGTCTCGATGACCTCATAGGGGGAGGCGAACACTGTCGAAAAAATTAATCTTTATATAGCAAGCTGAATCTGTATATTTAAATTATAATATTACATTTAACAAAACGTGCATTCATAGCTTTGCCTAAGACTTACCTGACGGCACATCAGTGAACAAAGACTCAACAGAAGGTGCATCAATGAGCATGTGGGCAAGATTTACCTGAAGGAGCATCAATGAGCATGTGAGCGGCTGGGAACTCCTTTGTTGGGTAGATCTTGAAGTCAATCTTCAGATATTCTCCCTTCGGGTTGAAGCCGGCGGTGGTCACCTCGAAGCCGTAGTCACTATCGGAATAGTCATAGTTGGAGTGAATGCATCGAGTCACCGGCTGGTAAGGGTTCTCGATGATGTGGGTCTGGTACCAGCGGCCAGCGTACTGCAGAGAAAATGTGCCATGAAGTTAAGTAATGTTACTAGTTAGTGTTGAGAATCCTATAACGTCTATTATTATTCTGGTAGCAACGAATAGCACAATGTAGATAAATATACAGTTTAAGGAAATTATAATTGGAACTGCACAAGTTCAAGTAAGTTTATTAAGATAATAAAATACATTCCAAAATAATAGAGAAGATTAGGCTGTTTCTATCGTCTTTAAAACGGTTTGATATTTATAATACAGTCACCTTCCTGAGGTCGAAGTTGTCCTGGTTGGCAACTGAGGCACATTGACCAGGAGAGACGAAGTTTGGAATACCGTCGGCGGCAACACAGGCCACGAGGGCGACAGTGAGGACCGTTGTGAACATGATGCGCGTTTGACAAACACTGAAGATGCTCAAGTCGTCCCACTGCTTTTATAGCATGCTTCAAGTATAAAAACAAAATAGTGGGAGGAGCGTTCTGTAGCAAAGCTTAAGTAGAAATTAACATTTAATCTGTGACTTTGTGATTATGTCCTTCAGTTTTATGTTGTGTTCGTAAATCCGAATGGCATTGTTGCGGGTTAAATGTAAACAACTTTAAAAAACACAAAACAAGATTTTATTTACTGCGTAGATAAACTTGTTGAATGGGCGGATCAGGAATTGGTCACGCCCACATTAAACAAGATATCACAGTTCTCAGAAACTAAAACCTGGTCTGGATGTGTATATATATATATATTGGCGACCTATTCTTGTATTCAGAAGCCGCTTCTGCCTCGCACCATGAACTCGCTGGCCATCCTGCTGGTCCTCGTGGCCGCCGTCGCTGCTGACAAGATCCCGGACTTCGTGGTCCCCGGCCAGTGTCCTGCCGTCGACGAGAGCAAGTTGTGGACCCAACAGAAACCTAACCATGCCAACGTGAGTTTTATTTCATGGCTTTTTTGAAAATAAATAAATGAAAATCGTCTTTAAATATCATTGAACGCTCATACACAAAACTAGAATAAATGCTGAGATTGCTTCGAAGAAAACGAAGAGACGTAATTTGAATATGTAAAATTATTTGAGCCTGAGGTGTTTGTGTTGAACTTAACGACAATTAAACCGTGGGAGGGTTAATAAGGCGAGCACAGTATCCTACAGACCAGAAGAAGTGGAACGAGTACTCTTCAATCTCAGAGGTTACACCCTCTTCTATTACAGAAGAGTGTATAACCTTGTTACTCTGATATTTGGGTCAAAGTTTTAAATGGAGGTGGGGTTTCCTCCTTTTCCCCTGTTTTTTTTCGTTTGTTTCAGAGTACTGATTTTAGTCTAGTTTTAATAATATTATCTTGGTGGCGGATGTTGATGCACAATGTTCACTAGTGTGTCCATTCTTCAACTGCTTTTCTAATAATTGTAGTGGCTGTGGAATGTACATCTAATGCAGCTGCTGTCGTTGGATTAATGTTAAGTTTGATGTGCAGGGCTTCAGTAGCTTCACATTCCAGTAAGTTGTGCAATAGTGGCGCCTCTGCTTCTGTTCCACAGATATGACACTCTTTAACTATTGTGTTTATTACCTCCCAGCAGCACTTGTAACCAAGTCTGAGTCTGTGTATGACTACTGCAATGTCTCTGGATATCTTTTTGTCAGGCTTGAACGAAGATTACAGCTATTAAGTACGATATATATATCGTACAAAACCTTGCTACTTGAGAGCCAACACGTCACCATCGAGGTGCTAAAACAGCTCTTGTCTTCTGTGATCTTTTTAATGTTTTAATAAAAGTATCTTGAACATTTTATTGAAAAGAGATATAGAGAAGTGACTGGGTTGAGAATTATTATTTTCTTATATTGCAGCTTGCTGGAGAGTGGTATGAATTCGCCATTACGAAGAACCCATATCAGCTCCTCAACAAGTGTGTCCGCAACGAAATATCCTTCGGTAAGATTTGTTACCCCTCTTTCCTCCCAGTGTTCTGAATACAGTGCTCATATACCAACTGGCATCAACATTAACCGGTTTGCATTTCGTGTGTTACAATAAAATCATTCAAAAGCAACCCACTTCTTCAGATGGTAAAGTGTTTACTGCGGCGGCACATGGCGTTACTGCTGACGGCAGCTTACTGAAGCGAAATGGGAAGGTGTATCCTAATCCCTTCGGTGAACCCCATCTCACCTTGGACTTTGAGAACTGTAAGTCCCCGCAGCAGATTCCTGTGACAATGTCTTTATGTATGACCATTATATGTAGTGTGCATAATAGAGTTTCTTATTTACATTTTGAAAATATCAGAACGATAAAGAACCGAGTGCGTCTTTAAACATTTGAGATTGAGTCACATAATGTGTTTTCTAATTTTCCAGCGTTTGCTGCCCCTTTTGTCTTCCTGGACACGGACTACACCAACTTCGCCTGCATGTACTCCTGCGTCGACTTCGGCCAAAGTTATTACACCGACTTTGCCTTCATCTACTCCCGCTCCCCCAGCCTGGCAGACAAGTTCGTGAAGCGGTGTGAAGCTGCCTTCAAGAAGATAAATTTTGACACTTCCCGCTTCATCAAAACTCCCCAAGGATCATCTTGCAATTATGATGTACAGAAAACTCTTTGAATGTCTATGCTGGATAGGTATTCTGTACGTCACTAAATTGTTTTAAAACTAAAAGAAAATGGATAGTAAAAATAATTCGAGTCCTTTTCATACGTCAATGAGAATGTTTCAGCGGATTTATGAATATACATGATAATCATTGTTGTATATGATAAAAATACATATACATATACAAATGTTGTTTCCTCAAACCTAATATTATAATTATAATGTCCTGTACTGTAACATCACTTGAGAATGAACCATGTAGGTTCGAAACGTTGTGCAATTTTATAATAAGTATAATACATTCTACAGTTATTCACTTCTTTTTCTTCACCTTGAAAACGAACATGACTTTTGGTGAACTCATCTTCCAGCTGAACCCTGATGCAAGAGCACTAGTAAGAGGGATAGAAGCCCTAAACCAGAAAATTGTTAATACAGAATATGCTGTCATGTTCAATGAGACATGTATAAAAAAAAATGCTGTCAGTATGGCAGCCATGGTCTCATCTGTCGTAAGACACTGGGAAAGATTGGCAGACATGAAGCAGTCAATGACATCATCAAGAGAAGTTTGGCTACAGCTGGGTGTCCAGCACAAAGGGAACCTCAGTTGTGCAGACTTGACAACAGCCAAAAATGCCCAGATGAAGTCACCCTGCAGCCATGGAGGGAAGGTAAACAGGTCGTGTGGGATTACACGTGTGCGTCTACATTGGCTGATATCTATCTACGTTACAGCGCAGCTGAGGGAGGCGGGGCGGCCACCTTCAGGGAGGCCCAGAAAACCAACAAGTACGGAGACCTAGAACGTTGTTACAGGTTCGTGCTGATAGGCTCTGAAACTCTGGGCGCCTAGGGTTAACGTGCACTTAAGTTCTCAAAGGAGGTGGGCGAGGAACTCATTGGGAAAACTAAAGACTCACGAGCGGCCAGTTTCCTGTTCCAGCGCCTCAGTGTTGCAGATCAGAGGGTAAATGCGTGCTGTATCCTGGGTACGCACCCAACCTGCGAGGAGCTGGACGAAGTCTTCGAACTCTGATTGTTATATTGTTACATATATGTGTGTGTTCTCTGTAAACTATAGCATTGCAAAAAAAAAATAGGTGTGGTTAGAGAAGAAAAGATTAAAGTGTTCAGTAAGAATCCACAAGGTCTTCTCTGAATATTCTTTATTTTCTTCTTCGAGGCTATGGGTCCCTACAATTGCATCAGAGGTGGTACCCTATGTTGTTGAATATTACCGAAAGGGTAAGATTAATGATTCTAACAAGAATCTTCTCAATATTTCTTAAGTTTTTCTTCACTGTCAGGGTTAATTGAAAAATTAACTCTGCAAATTTAACTCTCTTTCACCACGCTCTTTGCAATTTACTTCATTTAGATCTCTATTCAAGCCGAGCTGCCAGAGATACTTGTAACCAAGTCTTATTCGAGCTGTGACAACGTCTGCTAGTCTGCTGATTTTGTTACTTGCCCCATACACATGTTTTACTTCACAGATTTCATTATGATGAACAATGGACTTGCTAGTTCCAGTTTGCATTGTTCTGCTTTCTTCCAATTCACCCAAGAGTTCTCATCTAATGACACATTTTAGGGGCCTATTTGATAACTCAAGATTCTGTTTAACATTGTCTTTATTTACTGCAACCTTAGCAAGGGCGTCAACTTTATGTTCCTGCAGGCGAATGTGAGAAGGAAAACACAAGTGTCTGCCTCTGATAGCATCCTGCCTAACTCTGATGGGGTTCTGCTACTCCACAGAGCTGACTTCAGCTTCGCAATTTCCTCTCGTTGATGGTTCCAAGTAATTACCAATGACACACCAAAATTCTTAAACAAATCAAATGAGTCCAGACGCAAGTGTAACTCACGACTTTCAGATAAAACTTGCACTGTCGGTAAGGCCCACTGTATTGCGTCAGAAGGTGGGGGTGACGCACACTGTGTTGCGTCAGGAGATGGGGTGACGCACATTCTGTTGCGTCAGGAGTTGGGGTGACGCACACTGTGTTGCGTCAGGAGGTCGGGTGACGCACACTGTGTTGCGTCAGGTGATGGGGTGACGCACACTGTGTTGCGTCAGGAGATGGGGTGACGCACACTGTGCTGCGTCAGGAATTGGGGTGAAGCACGCTGTGTTGCGTCAGGAGGTGGGGTGACGCACACTGTGTTGCGTGAGGTGGTGGGGTGACGCCCACTGTGTTGCGTCAGGAGGTGGGGTGACGCCCACTGTGTTGCGTCAGGAGATGGGGTGACGCACATTGTGTTGCGTCAGGAGGTGGGGTGACGCCCACTTTGCTGCGTCAGGAGATGGGGTGATACACACTGTGTTGCGTCAGGAGATGGGTTGACGCACACTGTGTTGCGTCAAGAGGTGGGGTGACGCACGCGGCTGAATGGCTGGTTTTCGCTTCTCAGCAGACGTGCGGCGGGATGTGTTACGTCACTCGAACTCTAACTTTCTGTGAGGCGGTGTTTCACACATTCCCCACATACACTCTGGCTTTTGTCATCTAGGAATGTTCGAACTCATCATCTAGAATGATGAGGTTCGAACCCTCAACACGGCTCCTATGGGGGGTTATCCATAGCTCCTTCTCTACGGCGGGGTTATCCCATTTAGTCTTATGCAGTTGTTAGAATTTGGTCGTGGTGAAGAGCCTGCAGGAGTGTCCCAATGACAGATCTCAAGATGGCTTGCTCCTTTTGGTGAATTTGGGATCATAAATCCCAATGGTGTCTGAGGTGTTCTGGCCGGATCTCTCACTAATCCACTCGCAGCACCGGTCGAGGATGAAAATGCAGGCAATGCTGTTGACCAGACCACACACTAGAAGGTGAAGGGACGACGACGTTTCGGTCCGTCTCAAGTCGATAGGCAATGCTATTTGTGTTGCCTTGTGTATACTATATACCACATAATCCAGGATTAACTATAAGTTAAAATAATAAGGAAGGGTGTGTGCAGACACCGAGGGATGGTGGGTGTGTGCAGGCAGGTGTATATACAAGGGAAAGGCATATTTGTGCAGAGAGGAAGAGCACATGTGGAGGGGCATGTGTGTGCAGGGAAGGAAAAGGTGAGAGAAAGGCATGTGTGGACAGGGAGTGAGGGAGGAGACAGAGGAAGAGTGTGTGTGGGCAGGGAAGGGGAAGATGGGGGAATTTCAACGTCACAAATATGAATATATTTTCCCTTCCATATTCACTTTCAGAGCTTCAATCATCAAGAAACACGTAAGTTCTTCTCTATATAAAAAAATGCTGCGTTTTTAAATTTGAGAAGGGAGTCGAGTCCTCGGCTCATCTCTGCACATCCATATGTATTAGAATTATCTGATGGTTCTGAGTGACAATATGTCAGGAGAGAAAGATACGCTTGAATATTTAATGTTTAATTAATACATTATCTCATACTTACACCATGTCTTAATAGTATACAAATTATTTATATTGAAACATTCTTAACTGTACAAACATGTGCATGTTTATAATTATATTTTAAGAATTACGACAATAATTCATATCAAACACACAGATCTTCGTACTTGGTACAGGAGTTGCAATTGAGCTTTAATGTAATGGTCAAGTTTGGCAGTTTTCCTGCATTTTACAGTTATAATGGGGATGACGTATTTGAACTTAAGGAATATAACAAAATATCCATTTTTAGTATTCGAGGAACTTAAGCTCTATAGACGCACTCAGCCGTCTGCTGGACAGGCACGAACTTTGAGAACTCGACACCGTTCTTCCTGAAGACACCGGCACACTTCTCGACGGCGGGTCCTGAGGTCTGGGGGGTACGGGATAACACGAAGCCGAACTCTGCCTTGTAGCTATTGGTGGTGATGCAGGAGTAGACGCAGGAGTAGGTGTCGTAGTCAGTCTCGATGACCTCATAGGGGGAGGCGAACACTGTCGAAAAAATTAATCTTTATATAGCAAGCTGAATCTGTATATTTAAATTATAATATTACATTTAACAAAACGTGCATTCATAGCTTTGCCTAAGACTTACCTGACGGCACATCAGTGAACAAAGACTCAACAGAAGGTGCATCAATGAGCACGAGGGCAAGACTTACCTGAAGGAGCATCAATGAGCATGTGAGCGGCTGGGAACTCCTTTGTTGGGTAGATCTTGAAGTCAATCTTCAGATATTCTCCCTTCGGGTTGAAGCCGGCGGTGGTCACCTCGAAGCCGTATTCACTATCGGAATAGTCATAGTTGGAGTGAATGCATCGAGTCACCGGCTGGTAAGGGTTCTCGATGATGTGGGTCTGGTACCAACGGCCAGCGTACTGCAGAGAAAATGTGCCATGAAGTTAAGTAATGTTACTAGTTAGTGTTGAGAATCCTATAACGTCTATTATTATTCTGGTAGCAACGAATAGCACAATGTAGATAAATATACAGTTTAAGGAAATTATAATTGGAACTGCACAAGTTCAAGTAAGTTTATTAAGATAATAAAATACATTCCAAAATAATAGAGAAGATTAGGCTGTTTCTATCGTCTTTAAAACGGTTTGATATTTATAATACAGTCACCTTCCTGAGGTCGAAGTTGTCCTGGTTGGCAACTGAGGCACATTGACCAGGAGAGACGAAGTTTGGAATACCGTCGGCGGCAACACAGGCCACGAGGGCGACAGTGAGGACCGTTGTGAACATGATGCGCGTTTGACAAACACTGAAGATGCTCAAGTCGTCCCACTGCTTTTATAGCATGCTTCAAGTATAAAAACAAAATAGTGGGAGGAGCGTTCTGTAGCAAAGCTTAAGTAGAAATTAACATTTAATCTGTGACTTTGTGATTATGTCCTTCAGTTTTATGTTGTGTTCGTAAATCCGAATGGCATTGTTGCGGGTTAAATGTAAACAACTTTAAAAAACACAAAACAAGATTTTATTTACTGCGTAGATAAACTTGTTGAATGGGCGGATCAGGAATTGGACACGCCCACATTAAACAAGATATCACAGTTCTCAGAAACTAAAACCTGGTCTGGATGTGTATATATATATATATTGGCGACCTATTCTTGTATTCAGAAGTCGCTTCTGCCTCGCATTATGAACTCGCTGGCCATCCTGCTGGTCCTCGTGGCCGCCGTCGCTGCTGACAAGATCCCGGACTTCGTGGTCCCCGGCCAGTGTCCTGCCGTCGACGAGAGCAAGTTGTGGACCGAACAGAAACCTAACCATGCCAACGTAAGTTTTATTTCATGGCTTTTTTGAAAATAATTAGATGAAAATCGACTTTAAATATCATTGAACGCTCATACACAAAACGAGAATAAATGCTGAGAATGTTTAGAAGAAAACGAAGAGACTTAATTAGAATATGTAAAATTATTTGAGCCGGAGGTGTTTGTGTTGAACTTAACGACAATTAAACCGTGGGAGGGTTAATAAGGCGAGCACAGTATCCTACAGACCAGAAGAAGTGGAACGAGTACTCTTCAATCTCAGAGGTTACACCCTCTTCTATTACAGAAGAGTGTGTAACCTTGTTACTCTGATATTTGGGTCAAAGTTTTAAATGGAGGTGGGGTTTCCTCCTTTTCCCCTGTTTTTTTTCGTTTGTTTAAGAGCACTGATTTTAGTCTAGTTTTAATAATATTATCTTGGTGGCGGATGTTGATGCACAATGTTCACTAGTGTGTCCCATTCTTCAACTGCTTTTCTAATAATTGTAGTCGCTGTGGAATGTGCATCTAATGCAGCTGCTGTCGTTGGATTAATGTTAAGTTTGATGTGCAGGGCTTCAGTAGCTTCACATTCCAGTAAGTTGTGCAATAGTGGCGCCTCTGCTTCTGTTCCACAGATATGACACTCTTTAACTATTGGGTTTATTACCTCCCAGCAGCACTTGTAACCAAGTCTGAGTCTGTGTATGACTACTGCAATGTCTCTGGATATCTTTTTGTCAGGCTTGAAAGAAGATTACAGCTATTAAGTACGATATATATATCGTACAAAACCTTGCTACTTGAGAGCCAACGCGTCACCATCGAGGAGCTAAATCAGCTGTTATCTTCTGTGATCTTTTTGATGGTTTAATAAGAGTATCTTGAACATTATATTGAAAAGAGATATAGAGAAGTGACTGGGTTGAGAATTATTATTTTCTTATGTTGCAGATTGTTGGAGAATGGTATGAATTCGCTCTTACGAAGAACCCATATCAGCCCCTCACCAAGTGTGTCCGGAACGAAATATCCTTCGGTAAGATTTGTTACCCCTCTTTCCTCCCAGTGTTCTGAATACAGTGCTCATATACCAACTGGCATCAACATTAACCGGTTTGCATTTCGTGTGTTATAATAAAATCATTCAAAAACAACCCACTTCTTCAGATGGTAAAGTGTTTACTGCGGCGGCACATGGCGTTACTGCTGACGGCAGCTTACTGAAGCGAAACGGAAAGTCGTATCCTAGTCCCTTCGGTGAACCCCATCTCACCTTGGACTTTGAGAACTGTAAGTTCCCGCAGCAGATTCCTGTGACAATGCCTTTATGTATGACCATTATATATAGTGTGCATAATAGATTTTCTTATTTACATTTTGAAACTATCAGAATGATAAAGAACCGAGTGCGTCATTAAACATTTGAGATTGAGTCACATAATGTGTTTTCTAATTTTACAGCTTTTGCTGCCCCGATTGTCTTCCTGGACACGGACTACACCAACTTCGCCTGCTTGTACTCCTGCGTCGACTTCGGCCAAAGTTATTACACCGACTTTGCCTTCATCTTCTCCCGCTCGCCCAGCCTGGCAGACAAGTTCGTGAAGCGGTGTGAAGCTGCCTTCAAGAAGATAAATTTTGACACTTCCCGCTTCATCAAAACTCCCCAAGGATCATCTTGCAATTATGATGTACAGAAAACTCTTTGAATGTCTATGCTGGATATGGATAGACATTCTGTACGTCACTAAACTGTTTCAAAACTAAAAAAAAAATGGATAGTAAAAATAATTCGAGTACTTTTCATACGTCAATGAGAATGTTTCAGCGGATTTATGAATATACATGATAATCATTGTTGTATATGATAAAAATACATATACATATACAAATATTGTTTCCTAGAACCTAATATTTTAAATATAATGTCCTGTATTGTAACATCACTTGAGAATGAACCATGTAGGTTCGAAACGTTGTGCAATTTTATAATAAGTATAATACATTCTACAGTTATTCACTTCTTTTTCTTCACCTTGAAAACGAACATGACTTTTGGTGAACTCATCTTCCAGCTGAACCCTGATGCAAGAGCACTAGTAAGAGGGATAGAAGCCCTAAACCAGAAAATTGTTAATACAGAATATGCTGTCATGTTCAATGAGACATGTATAAAAAAAAAAATGCTGCCAGTATGGCAGCCAAGGCCTCATCTGTCGTAAGACACAGGGAAAGATTGGCAGACATGAAGCAGTCAATGACATCATCAAGAGAAGTTTGGCTACAGCTGGGTGTCCAGCACAAAGGGAACCTCAGTTGTGCAGACTTGACAACAGCCAAAAATGCCCAGATGGAGTCACCCTGCAGCCATGGAGGGAAGGTAAACAGATCGTGTGGGATTACACGCGTGCGTCTACATTGGCTGATATCTATCTACGTTACAGCACAGTTGGGGGAGGCGGGGCGGCCACATTCAGGGAGACCCAGAAAACCAACAAGTACGGAGACCTAGAATGTTGTTACAGGTTCGTGCCGATAGGCTCTGAGACTCTGGGTGCCTGGGGTTAATGTGCACTTAAGTTCTCAAAGGAGGTGGGCGAGGAACTCATTGGGAAAACTAAAGACTCACGAGCGGCCAGTTTCCTGTTCCAGCGCCTCAGTGTCGCAGATCAGAGGGTAAATGCGTGCTGTATCCTGGGTACGCACCCAACCTGCGAGGAGCTGGACGAAGTCTTCGAACTCTGATTGTTATATTGTTACATATATGTGTGTGTTCTCTGTAAACTATAGCATTGCAAAAAAAAAAAAAAATAGGTGTGGTTAGAGAAGAAAAGATTAAAGTGTTCAGTAAGAATCCACAAGGTCTTCTCTGAATATTCTTTATTTTCTTCTTCGAGGCTATGGGTCCCTAGAATTGCACCAGAGGTGGTACCCTATGTTGTTGAATATGACCGAAAGGGTAAGATTAATGATTCTAACAAGAATCTTCTCAATATTTCTTAAGTTTTTCTTCACTGTCAGGGTTAATTGAAAAATTAACTCTCCAAATTTAACTCTCTTTCACCACGCTCTTTGCAATTTACTTCATTTAGATCTCTATTCAAGCCGAGCTGCCAGAGATACTTGTAACCAAGTCTTATTCGAGCTGTGACAACGTCTGCTAGTCTGCTGATTTTGTTACTTGCCCCATACACATGTTTTACTTCACACATTTCATTATGATGAACAATGGACTTGCTAGTTCCAGTTTGCACTGTTCTGCTTTCTTCCAATTCACCCAAGAGTTCTCATCTAATCACACATTTAAGGGGCCTATTTGATAACTCAAGATTCTGTTTAACATTGTCTTTATTTACTGCAACCTTAGCAAGGGCGTCAACTTTATGTTCCTGCAGGCGAATGTGAGAAGGAAAACACAAGTGTCTGCCTCTGATGGCATCCTGCCTAACTCTGATGGGGTTCTGCTACTCCACAGAGCTGACTTCAGCTTCGCAATTTTCTCTCGTTGATGGTTCCAAGTAATTACCAATGACACACCAAAATTCTTAAACAAATCAAATGAGTCCAGACGCAAGTGTAACTCACGACTTTCAGATAAAACTTGCACTGTCGGTAAGGCCAACTGTATTGCGTCAGAAGGTGGGGGTGACGCACACAGTGTTGCGTCAGGAGATGGGGTGACGCACACTGTGCTGCGTCAGGAATTGGGGTGACGCACACTGTGTTGCGTCAGGAGGTGGGGTGACGCACACTGTGTTGCGTCAGGTGGTGGGGTGACGCCCACTGTGTTGCGTCAGGAGGTGGGGTGACGCCCACTGTGTTGCGTCAGGAGATGGGGTGACGCACATTGTGTTGCGTCAGGAGGTGGGGTGACGCCCACTTTGCTGCGTCAGGAGATGGGGTGATACACACTGTGTTGCGTCAGGAGATGGGGTGACGCACACTGTGTTGCGTCAAGAGGTGGGGTGACGCACGCGGCTGAATGGCTGGTTTTCGCTTCTCAGCAGACGTGCGGCGGGATGTGTTACGTCACTCGAACTCTAACTTTCTGTGAGGCGGTGGTGTGTGGCTCTAAGTGCTCAATATCTCTCTCTCTCATGAGCAAAACTTGCCCAGATATTGATATTAAGAGAGGAAGTTAGAGCCCCGCTCCCGTGCCAGGTAAATTCACAACGGGCTCACCATACCCCGTGCTACTTGGATCTTTTTGTTCCAAGTAGCGAATCTTTTAACAACAACAACAACATGATATTATGAGGTAATGCGGATGGTTTATTGAAAATTAATTATGTTTCAGGGAAAGTATGGCATCTTCGCCGTAGACTTCTAGCGACCTCTATTGTTGAGCGGATATTTTTTATAAATATTTTGACAAGAGTATGTACTATAGCGTTGTTTGTCAAGCGTCAGGGTTGTAAATTCAGTTCAGGATCACTGGATGATCTGTAGTTGGGCATTGGCAATATTCGGATTCTCTGATATTGATAGAAATATCCAATTCCGCTCATAAAAGACATCCATCATTCTAATATATAATACTCGTGTGCGCGTGACTAAAAATTTATACCCATCATAGTGTAATATTCACTATACACTTCTCTATACAATTCACTAATGGACTAATACTTCTGATATGAAAGGCCTTCTCGACAAAAAACAATTGATGCACAGTTTAAGCACAATACTTGTAGCCCCCATAACACTGCACAAGTCTCGAGGGCGACAGTTTGGTGTTGAGTGTAAGGTCTATCGCCCTCTGGAGGGTTACTAGGACCACCACAATAGCTTACCAACCAGCCAGCAATATATACTTCAACAACGAACATGGTACAGGACTATAGAGAACTCTCGGAGTATAAACACCAAGCAATTGGGGAGTATTTAGTATAGAGTTGGGGAGTATAGTAGTACCGCGGTTCGCCCTTCCCCTGCTGGTGGAAGGGCGACCAGTAACAATGGTTGGTGTCACACTGACGCTCGCTACCACCTTCCTTTGTTTATATAGGTCGCGTCACGCTGGAGCACCGGGAGGAACACTTTCTACCAGCTCGTCAATTAAATAATTTTTGGTTGTACTCTGTTGTATATTTTTGTTTATAAATATCTATAGAACCGTTCCCTGTTCATGAAAAAAATTTGAAGTCAAACTATAACAGAACATAAATTGTTTGGTATATATAAGTTTGAGGGTAAACATAGTTCTTTTTTAAAACACGACCATAGACCATATTCGTAAAATTTTCTGAAGGTGACTTCAGCCTCGCTCGTATAAAATGGTGCGCGATGCTGTTGGAACTCAGAAGCCACTTCTGCCTCACACCATGAACTCGCTGGCCATCCTGCTGGTCCTCGTGGCCGCCGTCGCTGCTGACAAGATCCCGGACTTCGTGGTCCCCGGCCAGTGTCCTGCTGTTTATGAAAGCAAGTTATGGGCTGAGCAGGTCCCAAAGCACGCCAATGTAAGTTTTACTGAAGAAATCTAAGACACCTTTACCCCAATGAAGCATATGAATATATATATATATATATATATATATATATATATATATATATATATATATATATATATATATAGTATAGAGGGAATGAAGTATGTATGAAGGAACTGGGTTCTAGGCTCATTGAAACAACAAGGGACCCGAGAGCTGCAAGCTTTCTTTTCCAGCGCCTCAGTGTGGCGATACAGAGGGGAAATGCGCACTGCATCCAGGGTTCCTGCCCGCCATCTGAGGAGCTGGAGGAACTCGACAACCTATGACAACCATCTTTGTAACCTATATGTAACTCCTTTTTTGTAACAAAGTTCAAATAAAGTAAATATATATGTGTACATACAAAAGAATGGGGGTGGTAGGAGAAGATAATATTAGTGTTCAGTGAGAAACCACAAGGTCTCCTCTGAATACTTTTTATTTTCTTCTCCGAGGCTATGGGTCCCCACATTGGCACCAGAGGTGGTACCCATAAAATATATATATATATATATATATATATATATATATATATATATATATATATATGCGCGAACAAGCCAGAATGGTCCCCTGGACAATGGTCCCCTTTTGTGTTCCTCACGTGTACCCCTAAGAATGAGGTGATTTGGTAAAATGCTATGCCCAAGATTACTATCCGAGTGCCGGCGGTGGGGTGGTTCAAATAGCCTCGGCTATCACCTCATTATGTCCGGTCGTGATGGTCAAGTGGATTAAAGCGTCTTGTACATACCAGTTGCGTTGCTTCTGGGAGTATGGGTTCGAGTCACTTCTGGGGTGTGAGTTTTCAGTTATATATATATATATATATATATATATATATATATATACATGCTTCATATATACACCCATATGCTTGTCGACTTATAATATATTAAATGTACTTATCAAGCAGTGTTTAAGTATGTCGAGCGCCTCTCGGCTACAATATTTGAGCTATTAAGATTTACGTTTGGAGATATATATGATATAATTCTTCGAGATCTCTTCGATGAGCTTGTCTATGTATATGTGTGCGTGATTATGCTGGATATTATAGTGTGTTGTGTTATGTTTCAGTATGCCGGTGTATGGTATGAGTTCGCTCTTACTAACAACCCATATCAGTTGATCAACAAATGTGTCCGCAACGAATATTTCTTCGGTAAGTTTTATCCTTATCTGGTTCCTGCGAATTGGTTAAATAGAAACTTGAAACCAAATATAGAGTATAATATTTTGAAGGACCTATGACGAATATCCACGTGAAACATTCCGTCCCTTGCAGATGGCAATCAGTTTGAAGTCAAGTCAACTGGCTTGAATGGTTATGGAAAACTGGTGAAGCGCAATGGGAGGGTGTATCCCAATCCCTTCGGTGAACCTCATCTGACTATTGACTACGAGAACTGTAAGTTGCAGCAGTTTCTTCTCGTAAATTATAAGCCTTTCATCTGTACATTATATTCAACTCAAATATGCGTTAGTAATGCGCTAATAAATTTCCTTGCCACCAGCGTTTGCCGCCCCTTACGTGATCCTGGACACGGACTACTCCAACTTCGCCTGCTTGTACTCCTGCATGAGCTTCAACAATCTTTATTACTCCGACTTTGCCTTCATCTTCTCCCGCTCCCCCAGTCTCGATGACAAGTTCGTGAAGCACTGTGAAGCCGTCTTCAGGAACCTCAAAGTGGACACTTCCCGCTTCCTGCAAACTGTTCAAGGATATTCATGCGATTATGATGCCCAAAAATATCTCTGAGCTCCCTTTTCTTATGAAACATTAGTTATGACAATGACACATGCACGTTGTCGTATCTCATTGCGTTTGACGACCCCCATTTACTTATGTATTTTTCCTATAGTAATATACCCAGTAATCAAAGAGAATCAGATGATGATATTTATTTGTATGTCATAAAATTATGCACCTAGTGATTGTAAACATGTGTGATAACACATATTTTGGCAAATATATTCATATTCGTGAATTTTTTTTACTTTGAATCCTGAATGTTTATTTTTTCGAGTCTCACTGAAGCGGTTTATTGATCCCATTTCCAATTTATATCTAATAAATACAGTCTCTCAGTCCGTGTCTGTCTGTCTTGGGTGTGGGAAATTTTTACCCGCTATATCTATAATATCATCTAAGAAATGTATTATTTCTTTATCATATCAAAATCATATCCGAATCATTATACATCTTGATCCTAGATGACAATGCCACTATGATCACGTATGCCATAGGACCCTATAGATGCCTACGTGACTTTGTGCATGATCTCTCAAGGATGCAGGAGCTTCTAGAAGGATTTCTTAATTAAAAAACTATTGGAACATAATCAATATCAGGTAGAGATTATAAATCGAATCCTTAATAAGAATCAGTAGTGTTAGCAAGTACTACTTATAATCTTTATATCCTATATCTAATTATATTATAATCACATCTTATCTCAATCATATGTCTAGACAGTAAAAATAATCAATCAACATTCATTGAAAGCTACCCCCTCTCAAGGGAGAGGGAGGGGCATCTAGGGAACAAGAAGCGCCCACCACACCCCGCGGCCAGAGCGTGTTTGTTTACTAAGGAGTGAGAACGTACGAGTGCCTTAGCGAACATTATTTAGCTCAGGACACCTTATCGAATTATCTTTATCACCAGTGAATACTCTCTAGACCTGGGGGAGTACCTGGACAATATATCTACAAGGAAAATTCCTAGAACATTTATATAAGTGTAGAGTGGAGCACACAGTGACTCTTGTCTCCATCTTCACCATCAACTATCATCTTTCTGCAACTGCAATTAAAGAAAAATCACGTAGCAACGCTACAAGAACAATCTACAGCAAAGCTGTGATATAAAATATCGTGACTAAACTCGCAACAAGAGAGTTATCAAGTCTGGCACACTGTCAGACAGGCATCCGGCATTCAGAGAAGTATATTGAAGGTTATCACAGTAGTGTATTAATTGGCCAATTGTATGACTTTAATATCCAATAAGTCTGTCTGTCAGTTATAAAGCGAGGCAACGCCTCATATTTCAGTAAGTTTATTAATATTGTAGTACAACAGTTGAATCTTTAAGCACCAAATCTCATGAGTGTCCATGACGTAAGAAAAGATTCAATCAAGGTAAACAAAACCTCATGAGAGTCCATTGTGTAGGAAAAGATTCAGTCAAGCTGACTGTACCTCATCATATAAATACATCTGCATATATACTTGAATATATAAATTAAGTTAACTATTGCTTGATTAGTTATTTTCAAGTTATCATATAAATTCATTTAATTGAATATAATTTTTGTACTTAGTAACAGTACTTAGACTACATTTAAAGTCATTTATCATACTTATACAATTCAAATTATTGTTTATAGTATAAGAATATATTGGTTGTTAATAGTTATGGTGCTAGGCTAGACTATGTATGTTTAAATTCCTGATTTAAACAGAGCCAGTGTTCAGCATAGAACTGAATTTATTAAATCTTATCCTTGTATAAAATACAAGCTGATGTAAGATACCTGTCGGCAGGTGGACTGTGGATCTTCAATCAACCTATCAACTAATTCACCCCACCTGCCCCTTACAGCCCACAATCTGTCATTAGGAAAAGAGGAGCTAGGATTTACGACCCTAGCTAGAGATTTTAGTTGAATTAATTTGCAGACAGTAATTTTTAATTTAGTTCAGTACAAGTCCCTGGTAGTTTCCTCTCATATCAATCTTGACACGGTCCGTCTAATTACCACAAGCTACACAAGCTTCACAAAGCTTCCTGGCAATATGTTAGTAATGAATAAATATGATATATTTACTCATTATAATGTTGGTGCTGAATGTACAACACGAGAAAACATAATTTTAATCTGAAAAAGTATATTTTTATTAAGAAATTAGACGAAAATAAAGAGCTGGTGACACCAAATAAAGTCGACGATTCAAGCGTCGGTTAGGTTAGGTTAGGTTTGGTTAGGTTTGGTTTGGTTAAGTTAGGTTAGGTTAGGTAAGGTTAGTTTAGGTTAGGTCAGCCTAACCTAACATATCATATTTATTCATTACTAACGTATTGCCAGGAAGCTTTCTGAAGCTTTGTAAAGCTTGTGTAGCTTGTGGTAATTAGACGGACCCATCTCGACATGTTTTTCCCACATTGGGGGCTCGCCTCATCCAACTTTCCAAGATGACAGCTGACTGGCATGTGAGCCACCATAGGCCTGGCGGTGTCGGCCCCAGTATTACGTTTTTAAAAAATATCGGCATCTATAACAACCTCTGCGATTTTCATGAAAATTAGGGATACGTTTTTTCTGTAGAGCAGCTGCTTCCATCATTTTCATAGTTTAATTGCTTATTCCCGCTGATTACTGGAAAACAATGAAAATTAATGCATTCAGATTTCTGTAAGATTCGGGTTACCAAATTAACAGTATAACATTTTTGAGAGTGACAGAGAGAGAGAGAGAGAGAGAGAGAGAGAGAGAGAGAGAGAGAGAGAGAGAGAGAATGAGAGAATGAAAGCAGAAAGGGTGAAAGGGACACAGGATGAAACGTGGGATTTATTGGAGAGTGAAGGAGAGAGGTGGAGAAAGTGGGAGTGTGAAGAAGAGAGGGGAGAAAGAACGAGAGAGGGAAAACGACGGGAAAAGAAGTGGGATGTTGAGTGAGAATGGTGAAGAGGAAATGAAAGGAGAGGAGAAGAGGATAGGGGAAGAGCTGCATGAGACAGAGGGAGAACTGAGAGACTGGGTGATAGGAGGAGATGGAAAGAAAGAGAGAGAGAGAGAGAGAGAGGAAGAAGTGTGAGAGAGATCCTTGCACAATCGGGTATCTATCTAGTAATCTATAAATTAATTAGACTAGAGGGCGAGACTCTTTTCCTGGTGTACAGCGCGAAGTCCAAATGTTCTGAATCAGATTATTCAAAACTGATTAAGAGGGAAAATGTAAGTGTATGTGATGTTCATTCTTCAAATTCTAATAATACTGATAACTCACAAACCTCTATAATGCCTATTAGCTGCTGATGAGCATGTGAAATACCAGGCCGTCACTCTACCAGCCAGGCCAGGATACAGTTAACAAGAAAGATCCCAGAAAAGTACAATAAGGAATTGTAGATTTCTTGCTAGGGTGCGATGAGGATATTTTTGGCTATTTAAATTTTATTGTTTTGTTTATATTTTATGTATTTTTTTTAACAAAATGTTTTGATAACGTGGAAACATTCATTAATAACACCAAGAAGTTGCATGTTTCGCATGCAATACTATTTTACAGAAAATGTGGTTAATTTTGTTATTTAGAATAATTTCAATTAAATTTATAAGTGCTGCAAAATAGCTCTGAGTGTGGATGAGACACAGCAAAATACCGAAGAAAAATTATATTGTTTATTGTCTGTTAAGGGTTGCAGGCCGCTTCGTGACTGTCTAGTTAGGGAGGATTGATAAATTAATTAAATTTCGCACTAGTACAAGGTTGTAAATGCAGTTTTAATCATAAAATAACCACTATTGTATCATTATATTAAGAGCATGAAGGTAAGTCTTACTTGTGGGAGCATCAATGAGCATGTGGGTAAGATTTACCAGAAGGAGCATCAATGAGTACTGAATCTCTACAATGGAGAGATTCAAGTCATTGAATTACCAGTCTCAGTGGTGCAGTGGTAAGGCACTCGCCTGGCGTTCCGCGAGCGCTTTGTCATGGGTTCGTATCCTGGCTGGCGAGAATTTACTGGGCGCAAATCCTTAACTGTAGCCTCTGTTTTCAACTCAACAGTAAAATGTGTACTTGGTTGTAAAAACAATTCTTTGCGGCGGGGATCGTATTCCAGGAACCTGCCCGAAACGCTACGTGTACTAGTGGCTGTACAAGAATGTAACAACTCTTGTATATATCTAAAAAAAAAAAAAAAAAAAAAAAAAAAAAAAAAAAAAAAAAAAAAAAAAAAAAAAAAAAAAAAAAAAAAAATCTCCTTTTGTGTACTTTATGTGTACTTTGAAGTCTGTCATGAACCCCTTATTGATTACTTTGTAAACTTCTATGAACAGCCTTTAGATTACTTTATATATGCATTGAAATCTCCAATAAGCAACCCCTAGATTATATTATATGTCCTTTGAGTTGTCTAAATTTGCTTCTTTAGGTTAATTTACTCAAGCATTCAAATCTCCAGTGTACCTTTTTTAGGTTACTTTATACATGTATTAAAGTCATAAAATAATTTTTGTGGATTACTTTATATGCATTGAAATCTCCAATGATTATCCACCAATTTTTTTCTGTGTATTTAAATCTCTAATATACCTACTTAAGATTACTTTACACTCGACACAGAATTCTCGGATGCACCATTAGTAGATTATTTTATGTTTGAACATTGAACTCTTCCAAGTGACATCATAGATTTCTCATAATTTTATGCTTAATATTAACATATTTGGAAGGAATAGTTGAAATCAAGCATGATGTCTTGAGTTGGGACCTCGAGTTTTTGCAGTCAAATGCTCAATCAAATGCCAGCAATATTTGACTCTTGAAGGTGGCTTCCCCTATCTTAGGACGAATCAAAGCCAACATTATCTAATGAAATCAATTGATCATTCAACACACTAGAACATTTAAATTTCTCAAGCATAACCATTAAATTACTATTTAGTTCAGCCTGAAATATTTAATATACACAAGTTGTGACTTAGCTAAGTGTGTCGTTAGTAGTCCTTTCATTAAAAAAGACCCGATGGATCAAAAGCTATCTAGCAAATAATTCACTATTTAAATGTGGCTATTCTACATTTAATAGATCAGCGATTGTTGATTATCAGCCGAACCCGCAGCGGACCAGGGGCTAGATTCACGAAGAAGTTACGCAAACACGAACCTGTATATCTTTTCTCAATCTTTGGCGGCTTTGTTTACAGTTAACTTAAACAGCTAAGGAGCTTCAAAGCACCAGGAGGATGTTTAT